GTGTATGTGTGCTTGTATCTACCAAGTGAATTGCAGAAGCACAGATGCACATCTGCACACTCATGTAATAAAGACAAAGGATTGGCCATGTAGAGACCTACGCTATCCGGCACTCACAGACACAGATAAGCAGGAAGCAACTCCTTCAGGCCCACTCTCTGTGCTTACCACAGTTGTGTTGGAAGTACATATCCAACTTAGACCATATGTCGAAGAGCCAGACTTACCTTGCAGCCATGAGTCTTGCTCAACTCCCAGCTTACCTTCAGAAAATATTAGTCAAAATATTAGCCACAGGAAACAAAGCGAGCATCCAAGTCGAGCACAGAAAAAGAAAACAAAAGTCTAGCCCCCATTGCGGACATCCCTGAGGTAGGGTAGGCAACTGTGCCCTCCCTGTACACGTCTCAAGTTCTCCTGTCTATTGTGTGCACCTTTAGGCAAACAGCCCGGCTTTTGCCAGACATGGTACCACACACAAGCACGGAAACTACAAAGGCTGGCTTGTCACACGCCGGCGGAGGAAAGCGGGGCTAGGTTGGGCTTCCTGGTAGATGTGAAGAGAGTACATTAAAGCCGCACTTTAACACACACAGCACAGACGTGGAAGCCAGTGGACGGATACAAAAGAAAGTGAAATGAGACACATCTAAAAAGTGGCTGCTGTGCTTAGGAGTTAATCACACCTCAAAGCCTGACATTGTTGTTGTTTTTTTTTTTTAATAACAGAAGCAATAAAATCCCTAGTATGGATTAATCTGCTGCCAAATTTTTGTTTTTTAATCAAATCTATTTTGAGCCAAAGAAAACACAAAAATGCAAATGAAGCCCTGGTCCTCTAGATCCTGAGAACATGTAAGGGCTGACACACTTCAAAGATTGTTTTAACTCATAACTTAAGCTCATCATACGACACGGCAAAACACGTTTATTTGTAAACCTTTTAATTTTACATCCCATGTAAAGTTTGGGCTTTTAGGAAGGAAGGGTTTTTTTTTTAAGTCCTAAAAGTTGATGCTTTAATAAGTAAATACTGATCTAGTTTAATAACTGGTGTGTGTTATAACCTGGGATTGTGAGAGAGAACTCAGTTGTTTTCCCATAGCAAAGGGATGGGGGGTAGGGTGGGGCGGGGGGGAGGCGGGCAGGGCGAGGGTGGTGGTGGACATGACATAACTATGACATAACTAATTGCCAACAGCGAAACGGAGTTGGGGTGCACAGCCCGGGCCTTTTCAGACACACATCCCAACTGAACGCAAAGTCCAGACACTGGAGGGAAGGATTGTTTGCATTACCACGCCCTCCCCCCTCCTGTGAGCGTCCTCTCCAGCCGCGATGGATTTCCCCATGAGCTTTCTCCAGCTGGGCTGAAGGATTCATCAGTAGATCTAAAGAAACTCTTGAGAGGATTTTTATCTCCTCCAAGTGTGACTGACGATGCTGCTCAAACAGGCTGCTGCTGAAGCTGTCCGCCATGCTGTTCAGTGTTGCGCTCACAGCCCGAGGGAGCGCCAGCAGGCAGTGCCTACGCTCAGCTAGCAACTCTTTGAACGTTTGTGGGGCAACTGTGTAGCTGTAACACAGACTGTCCCTGTAAAAAAAATGCCAACCCACACGCTGTCAAAGCAAATCGTGATAATGTCCGTGGACATGGACTGTGTAGTGGCGGGCATCACACCGACCGCCACCTGCTGCATGAGGTCACTCTCAGGGGAGCGGCATAATAATATGTCATCATGTAGGTGCTTCTCAGAGTTCAAGTCACAAGAAAGGATGTGTTTTAGTTTCCTGAGACAGGGATCCCAGAAAGCATTGGAAAATAGATGCACATTGTTGATAAAAGGAGAAAAAATAAAAATAATATTATATCCCCCCCCACGAACGTCTCTTACCAAAGAGAGGCAAATATATGAGAACTAATTAATACTATTTCAAAGCATTTTTATTTACACATAAACACAAGAATGCACAGAAGAGTAAACACAAAGTGGAACTTTGTGTCCTAAGCCTGCAGTTATGCAGAGGGTTGGGAGGTATTTCTGCTTGCGGCTCCAGCTCGCATTCAGGCTTGGTTAACAGGGAGATTTACCCCTGTGTCTTGCAGCACTTGGGACTGAACGCCAGGCCTCACACATGCTAGGCAAGAACTCGGAGCTACGCCCTCAGGCCAGGAAAATGATTCTTCAGGGTTTGTAATGACACGCAATGGGTGCCAAAGCTCACACGTGCTCCGGAGAAAGCCATCAGACACGGTGCTCCACTCGGGTGGCACACCGGTATGGTGCCTCGAATCCAGTATTTAGCCGCAGAGTCTGTCTCTCTCCTTGTGTTTTCTGTTCTATACCTGCGATGGGCAGAATTCAGGACATCACTCGAGACGGCACGTGGGTTGCTGATGTTATACTGAGGCAAAGAGGAAGGAGGGGGTTTTGCGCATGGGAAGTCCCCAGCTGGTTGACCCTGAGTTAATCAAAAGGGACATGAACCTGAGTGGGTCTGATACAATCAGCTGAGGCATTTGAGGAGTCCCCAGCGATGGTAGACACTCCCCGGCTGGCTCTGCAGTATTGTACTGTGTTCAGAGAGGGTCCCACGGAGAGGCCTGAGGTCAGGGCAGTCTGTGGCTCACCGCCAGAGATGACAAGAGTGCAGGGTCCTTAGTCCTAGGATTGTGAGGGACTCAATGCTACAGGCAACTGAACACACGGGAGGACTTCTCCGCTGCCACCACAGCACCACTGAGGACTTTAGTGTGGAATTGGACTCTCAAGCCACATACATTATGACAGGGAAATCTGAGGTGTTTTAAGCCACCGCAACAGCATCGGGCCTGTCTCTCAAAGCTACATAGAAATCTTGGGGGCCATCTTTGCTCATTGCTGGTCTACCAACATGCACCGCCCATCACAAGGCCAGGTTACGTTGTGATGCCTTCTGGGTTGCTCCTGGCATGGGGTCCAGTCCAGGGTCTCTGACTCAGCAACTAAAAGCTAAATCTGAGACTGGCCATCTCAGTACAAGGCTCTCCCGGCCCCTTCCTCCCAACACATTTGCGGGTGAAACCATTCCTTCGTCTGGTTCGGCCCTTTATGATCTTCTGATGCTCATCTCGACATTCCACCTCTATGCTGTGCCCCGGGCCGTTTGCTTTTCCCAGAATGTCATTCCTTCCATGATTGACCCTCCCCACCTAGTCCTCAGGAGGACTGCAGCTTTAAGTCCTACCTGTGGACCTGAAGCCTGCAGTCACCCTCCACAGCCTTCGGTGCATCTTTGGCCAGAGCTCTTTTGAGACGTTATTTCACTCTGTGTTTCTCCTTCATCTTTCAGAACTGCCAGATCCTCCCTTTCCTTTCTCTTTCCTTCTGAGCTCCACCTCTGTCAGTGCCCAGGACGTAGGAGACAGGAGTAAAACATCACCAGCAGAGGAGGACATAGCAGAAACTCACTATGACAACCGAATGTTCTCTGTGCAGCTCCCCGTGTTAAGCATTGCGCCATGCACCATGTCAACTTTTTTTTGCTAAAGAAGATGAGAGATCAGACATCACTGGCAAGAGTCCCTTCTGGTGCTTCGGTGGGCACAAGGCTACTGTGACTGACCTTCAGCAGGCAAGAGCACTTCCAATCACTAAATTCTTTCTACAAGTCTAGCCTATCATTCTTCCCATTGTTTAGAGTTGCCCTGTAGAATTCTGCCACTGACACAACATGGATTGCTTCCCCGTGCCTGTCCCCTTTCACGTTTCTGTTTCTAAGAAATACACTTGGGACTTTTTTTTGTCTTAAATCCCTATGCCCTGCCTTTCAAATTTAGTTATGCGATCAGCTTCAACTCCACGCTGTTTCCGCTTGTTTTCTCCACTGCTTTGCTCTATCCTTAGTCCTTTCCAAACATCGCTAAGCCAGCCGGTCCTCGGATCTCTACAGCAGTTGAGCCCGGCTATACTAACAGAAAGGAATAGCACCGGCTCCAGCCCCTCTCTGCCTTGTAAAGTCTACACAGTCGCATCTTGTGGCAGTCTGACTTGAATTCTGTTCTGCGTCTCCCTGGATGACGTCAGACAACTTCCTTTGCTAGCTGCTTTCACAACTGCAATTACAACAGCACTAAAGTACCTTTGCATTATAGTTTTAGTAGAATGCATAGATTGTAGATACACAACTCTATGCATTTTGGTAAGTGTATCAACCCACATAACCAATGCCCAGTCAAGACAGTTTCTGGCACCCCAGAGAATTTCCCTGTGTTCTTCCTAATTAGTTCTCACTGCCTTTTGCTCTAGCTTAGCCTTGCTGGTGCTAAAGAGTCACATGACCACAGAGTTTCCTCCCACATGAAAATACTGATATTTTTTTCTTACAGGATCTTGGGACTTGTCTTCCTTGCTGCTTTGCCCATTCCCGTTAGTGCTGGCATTATTTTTATGTTACTACCATTTGCTTATTCCTCCTCTGTGGAAGCTTGTTCCCAGGTTTTGGCTATTGGGGATGAAGCATCTATGAACATTTGCTCCAGCAAACGTTTTTATGGTTGTCTGTTTTCTTCCCATTCCAATAGGAAGTAGGAGTAGAATTGCTAGGTCTTAGGATCAGTGCCTAGTCAACTCTATAAGAAAGTGCCATCCTGCTGGACAGTGGTGACGCACGCCTTTAATCCCAGCACTCGGGAGTCAGGTGGATCTCGGTGACTTGGAGGCCAGCCTGGTCTACAGAGTGAGTTCCAGGACAGCCACAACTGTTACAGAGAAACCCTGCCTTTAAAAACCAAATAAATAAATAAATAAAAGTAAAAAAGAATGTGTCAATAGCTTTCCTACAGGGTCTGTGTCATTCTGCATTCCTAACAGCAACCTATGGCCTTACAGCTGGATCTCAGGGAGACGTTTCTTCAATTGAGGCTCCTTCCTCCGATGACTCCAGTCTGTCTCAAGTTGACAGATGAAACCAGCCGTACCACTGACCCTTTGTTAACGTGACACACAAACACATCACTATTAAGACACAACCCTTCCTTTATGATTTATCCCCAAGATCTCAGGAATAACTTTAGAAGTCCCGGAATCTTTACAAATTCAACACATTAAAATTTCAGTCCCCTTAAAGTAGCCAGTTTGTTTTAACATCCAAAGTCTTTGAAAATTCGTAGTCTCTCAACTGTGGGCTCTAGCAAACTACTTTATTTCAAGAGGGAAAAATCAGGGCACAGTTAACAATCAACTCAACGCGAAAGTCAAACAGTCGAGACCTCCTGGACTCCCTCTGCAGCACACACAGCAGTCTCCGATGCTCTCGCTGGCTCCACTCCACTCTGCTGCTGCTCTTAGTGGTCACCCCGTGGCGCTGGCATCTTCAAAACGCTAGGGTCTTCTGCTGCAACCAGGCTGCGCTTTCACCAATACCCTCTTAGAGACTTTCTTTATGATGCCCCTTCAGCCCTGGGTCTTCAACTGCCGCCGAGGCTGCACCTTCTCCAGGGGCCTCTCCTGGCCTCTCATGGTGCCAAGCCTCAGCTACTCTCCCTGACCCCTTCATGCCTTCAAAACCAGCACCACCTGGGTGACTCTGACGCATGACCAAGTCCAGCTGTAAGTACGACGTACAACCTTGGCCACTTCTGGAACACAGCTTCTCTGGGCTCTCAGGAAACACTTCCCACAAGATTTCACCTCAGTGATGCTGGCCTCTTCTTAATCACTGCTAATTTCTCAGCTCCAGCTGACCAGCATCGAGCACCCCACAAAGCAGAGTTTAGCTTTGTAGTTCTGGTCTCTCGTTAATCACAGCTGACTCTTCAGCCCCAGCTGACCAGAACCACGGGATCTCAATTCAAAATAACGAATGGCCCTGAGGGTCTTTGCACCTCCCCTCTGAAACTTCACAGGCCAGGCCTCCGTCTTCCGGAACCGCCCTTCACATTCTTATCTTCCGGGCTCCTGAAGAACATTCCAAAGAGCTCTTCGTACTCAATGGCTCTTCCAGCCCAAAGTTCCTAAGTCCTCCCACAATCCTCCCAAAAACATGGTCAGGTCCGTCACAGCAATACCCCTCTTCTGGTACCAACTTGTCTTGGTTAGGGTTTCTTTGCTGCGATGAAACACCACAACAAAAAGCAAGTTGGGGAAAAAGGGGTTTCTTTGGTTTACTTACGCTGCCACATCGCCATTCGTCACTGAAGGAAGTCAGGACAGGAGCTCAAACAGGGCAGGAAGCTGGAGACAGGAGCTGATGCAGAGGCTGTGGAGGGTGCTGCTTACTGGCTTGCTTCCCCTGTTCTGCTCAGCCTGCTGTCTTATAGAACCCAGGACCAGCAGCCCAGGGATGGCTCCACTCACCATGGGGTGGACCCTCCTCCTACATTGATCATTAATTGAGAAAATGCCTGACAGCTGGATCTCATGGAGACATTTCCTCAACTGAGACTCCTTCCTCTGATGACTCTAGTCTCAAGTTGACAGATGAAACCAGCCAGTAGACTAAGAAGAGGATGGAGTAGGGGGGTGGTGGCACATGCCTTTAATCCCAGCATTTGGGAAGCAGAGGCAGGTGGATCTCTGTGAGTTGGAGGCCAGCCTGGTCTACAAAGTGAATTCCAGGACAGCTGGGGTGGTTACACAGAGAAACCCTGTCTTGAAAACACAAAAACAAAGAACAAGAATAAAATGGACAGATGTGTAACTTAAGGGTGCAGTGAAATGTAAAGAGAGAGTTTTCTTCTTGAAAACACTCTTTGAGCAAAGTGTGTTTAATATGAGTGAATGACGGCTTAGTTGCTGAGGAAGAGGATGTGCGCCAACGTCAGCCATACAGCGACCAGGAATGCACCCGCCCACCCTTCCTTCTCCATACAAGTGCGGCACGGTGGTGCCAGGAACGATCCCACCAAGCGGCGGCTGCCCTCTTGCTCCAAAGGCCCAGGAGTGTTCTAGGAAAACTGTCAGGGTCAGGGAGCAGCTGTCTTCCAAGCAGCGCGGAACGTTTCCCTGATGTTGGCTTCATTTGAGATAAAGGGATGAATGCAGCGATGGGTGAGTTTCAGGACGAGACGGACGTGAGACGCACTTCCAGTCCACCACTTAATGTGGCTCCGGGTACATCTCCTCAACCGTTTAAATTCATTTCCTTTTGAGGATGCCGAGAGAAGTTCTTAGATAATGTGTGCTCGGCCACTTTTTTTTAATTCAGTAATTGAGGAAGTTGTCAGCGCTGATTCTTTTCTAAATTTCCACCGCAATAAACGTAAAACATATATGGACAAATAAGCACATAATTAAATTTAGTACACTTAATACAATGACTTCATCATCAGCTCCTTTGACCCTGAATGACAGGAATATGAACAAGCAGAGAGGGATGTTAGACTCACTGGGACCGCCAGCCAGTTACCCACCCCTGACTCCTTTCGAGACGTTATCAGCAGAAGGTGGAAGTTGTTTCAGATAATCTCTAAGACTCTGTTCCCGGCCTGAGATCTGACTAAGTAGCATTGCCGTTCTGCTCTGCTATAGAGGCAAATGTTTAAGAGGAAATTTCCCCTCCCCCACCACTGCAGGCCTAAGTCACCCATATAGTTGAAATCTTCGGCACCTGTCCCCTGCCGTAAGAAGTTGCACTGGCTCTGGCGGAGGGGGGGGCACACTGCTCCACACAGATCGTCCCAGGGTCCCTTGCCTTTTCAGTGCCATGTGACCTCTGGTACTTTTCAAGATGGACCCAGAGGAAGAGCCTCAGTGCCTGGACCAAACAAGTCTCTAAGCAAATTAACACACAGTCTGCCCCTCTAGTTAGTTGTAACATTTTTAACAACTCTCAGCATGGTGCAGAGCTATCTAGGTATCAGTTTTCATCACGGAAGCATTGGACAGGATACTGTCACTCAGTGTGTTCACAGTTCATAAGAAAAGAACCCAGGCTTCACAGATTCCAAGATGCACATATCTTTCAAAATTTAAAATCTGTGCAATTGGATGCCTTTATTGCCCAGTGTGTTTGGGAAGCCTTTTGTTATAATTTGATTGGCAGTACGTTTTCTATGGTAGCAAAGCTGACAGTGAGTCTTGGAAGTAACGGAATCTGACTTAGTTTGGTGTGGTGGAACCCCTGCCTACCTGAAACGGCACAGATGCAATAAATGGACCCCAAGTCCTGTTGGCTCTGCAGACATAGCTTAAGCTTGCATCTTCTTCACAAGCCCATCTGCCTTCAAGACCAGTCAGTCACCTGATGGCCTCCGTGAGATCAGGGTGAGATCAGGAGTGTGATTGAGAGGCTGAGATGAAACCTCACTGTTGGATTTCCTCGTCAGCCAAAGAAATACGGGTGATTTTTCCAACCAACCTTCTCCAAACTGTTTCATTCTCAGAGATAAGTCACAGTAAAAAGAAAACTCTAGTAAGCCTAAAATCAGCTGCACTTCAGTATATACAGGACTAATGGTCTAGACATAAGTTATTTATGAAACCCAGGCTGGAAGCACTGAGGCACGGTTCGCAGGTGTGTATGCAGGCCCTCGTCTGGCCTGCATTCCGGTAGGGAACTCACTCCCTCTTGACACGTCAGCACAGGACAAACACTTTGGTACTGGCGTGTCCATGTAGCTTTCTGACTAGAAGTTAATCTTTGTGTTCAAACGTTAACATTTTCTGCTATTAATTTTTCTCTCAAAATTCTGCCAAAGGGTCTGGAAAGTGTAGAGAGGAGTAAATAAGAATATTTGCAATTTACCTTCCTGGGACTGGAGTGACAACTTGGTGGTCCGTCAAGTTCTGCTCTTGTAGTCTTGTCCAGCACCCATGGCAGGCGGCTCGTCACAGCCTGTAACTTACATTCCGGGGGACTCAACATCCTCTTTGGCCTCCCCTGGGAGGCACCCGCACTCATAGACAGATGCCCACACAGATACACATACATAATTAAAAATAAAACTACATTTAAAATATTCCACCACCCTGAGGTATTACTAAGGTTTTACTTAAGGTTTTAAAATTTCATTTATTTAAGGTATTTTTCCATCTTTTGAATAGTACCATATGTGATTGTAAAAAATTGAAATTCGAGTGTTGATATGTAATAAAGTTTATGTTCATCTCCTACTCTCATTTTATCACTACTATTTTCATGTTGGCATGCTTGCACGGTGGACTGGGTCCGCCTGGGGAAAGGTTAGACATTTCCTGACTCTATGGAGTGGGCCTTCTCCTGCTCACGCCATCATGATCCACCTGTAAAATTCTAAGAACTACAGAGGTCATAACTCCCCCCCAACCCTAGAGAGTCTCAATTATTCTAGGCATAATTTTGTTCTTCATGTGCTCGCAACACATCTGGATAGGAACTACTGTTTCATGCCAAAATAAATAGATCACTGATTGTAACAAGATGAAATACAACCCGAAGTCATGGAACTAGTGAGCGAAAACAAACATATAACTGACATCTTGGAGAACTGAAGGACACTAAAGACATACATGTATTCATATATGACAACACAAAAAAATTGCGTCTCTGCTCTATACACAGAACTGAACAGCTAATGACACAGTAGGATATACATTTCCCATGTGTGCTATAGGCAAAAGTTCATCAAAAAATTGTACAGGAAGAGCTGATAGAATGGGCCAACTACAGGCAAGTCATCATGATGTGTATGGAGATTTAAAAGCATTTCCTTTTAAATCTTTAATTGATGCAACGCTGACCTTTCCTCCAGGGTATCTAACTCCCTTCCTTACAGGCTCACTGGCATCAGTAAGTCAGGGGCATCCAGCCCTGTATACACTGGAGTCCTGACCCAAAGCAAACACATGAAAAGTAAAACCCGAATACAGAGAAAGTCACAGTGCCACATGCAGGTCCATAAAATCAGATGCAAAGGAACGCGGAACCACCTACCTCACCGTCATCATAACCAGCCTGGCTCTGTGCAGGGTTAACCCGCAATAAAGGAAGTCTTTTCAATCTACTCTGAAACTTCTCCCTCACTGGAATGCACACTCATTATTTCTTGATTACTCTTCTACTTAAAGCAAACCGTTGCCCACTTCGGTTTGCACAACCCTTGCTCAATATTCATATTTTATCTCTAGAGACTGTAATAAATCGCTCCAAGGACAAAATAACCTGTTTTAACAATGGCTTTTATAGGCAAAAAGGCACACCTTCGGTGCTGTGACTGCAGGCATCGGGTCTCCGGCTCTTCTGAGGCACACATTACAGCGTGCTCAACTGAGTCGGCCAGCAGACGAGGCCGCAGCTTCAGCGGCTCGGTGAGTCAACCCCATCCAGGGTGTGTGCTTCCTGGGTGACGGGGCGTATCCATAGCAACCCTTCGAAATGTTTTGTTTTAGTCATTTGGCTCCTTTCTCACTCTTCCTAGAGCCAACGCTTTCAAGATAATGCAGTTTAGACATGCCGCAGCTGTTGAAACTCAGCGAAAGCTTGAGTCTTCAGTGGGGCACAATCCCCAACTAGAAACACCAAAGCGGTGGCGGCCGGCATTGTGATAAAGAGTCAGGGATGGGCTTTGAGAAGACAAAGGGTGGGAAATAATGTCCGGCTGGCTTGAGTCAACAGAACCTCGGGGGCTGGGGGGCGGTGGTGGTGGTGGGGAACATCTGGCTGGGAGTAAGTCCTGCCTCCTTTCCTCCAGGAAGAGGGCTCATTGAATACACCCGGGTACCCGGGAAAACAGAAGGATCTGAGAGGGGGCTTCAAGGGGGCTGAGGAGCAGCTAGAGGAAGGCTGCTTTTGGAAAGCTGTTCATATCCAGAAAGTAACAACAATCTGCAATAGTTGCTCTACACTTCAGACTCAAATTCTTTCTGGCAGGAATGTTGTCCGTCTCCATTTTCAAGCTAATTTCATGATCCATTCTCTAACACTCACTTTCTAGAAACAGTCAAAAACAGAATTCGCACCTGTATAAAGGATCATAAGCTTGAAGAGTAAATTTTCACAGCCATTGAATGACATTTATCCCCACAAACATGAAACCTTTCAAAAGTAACATAAAGGTGACCACAGTACAAATTTGGTGGTAAATGTGAATTATAGCAATCTGTGGTGTACACAGGGAGAAGTTATTTTCCAAGTTAAAAAAAAAAAAAAACTTCATTCCCTTGCCCTGCCCAGCCCCTGAGGAGGACATTTTACAAACACTGACTTCTGAGTAACTCTTAAAAGCTAATCTTTTAAAAGATCTATAAAGCTCACAGGCTAGGCTTGAGATGTAAAAGTTTGTTTTATGTGGGAGTAAGTTGGAATTCAGTCGTGTGTGAGTTAGACAGAATCTTGAACACCTTCCAGTCACACCTACCTCCTGTCTTAATCACATATGTATGATCATTTAAAACAAACATTTCATCTCAGGCCATTTAAATATTATCTCCGCGAACGGTAGATTAGTAATAGCCTCAGGTTCACTGAAAATTCTGCGCAGCCTTTAGGCCTGTGTGAATGAGCGCCCAGCCATGGGGTCACAATACCAACACTACCCACATTTGCCACCCAGTCCTGTGAGTCAGCGACATTTGAACCCGCCTCTCAGAGCGGGCCATGCTTCTTCGTTATCAAGGACCTCAGCTTCCTTATTCCTAAACAGTAATGTGCTGAAACATCTAGTGGCAATAAATCCAAAATATCACGCAATACAGGAGGCAAAAACTTAAAAAATGCAACTTTTGAAACGTTTTATTCCTGTAGGGCTGTGTGAATAGCTGGCCCAGACTGGTGATGCTGTCTGGGGAGGTGAGGGAGCACAGCCTCCTGGGGGAATTACATCACTGCCGGCAAGATCTGAGCTCAAAGAGTTGCCTACTCCCAGCGTGGTTTCTCTGCTCTGCAGTTACAGGTGGGGTGTGAGCTCTTGGCTTTCTGGCCCCTGCCGCCCCCCCCTGCCGCCCCCCCCGCCCCCCCCGCGCCTGCTGCTCACTTCTGCGCCTCCTCACCACGACAGACCCATCCCTCTGCAACCATAAACCTAAATAAAATTCTCTGAGTTGCTTTAGAAGGGTGTTTTATCACAGCAACGGAAAAGAAACTTAAACAGTCATATAGATAGAACAGAGGATAAAAGCCTATCGTTATATTCTTGGTTTTTGGAAGATGTGACAGCATTCAACGTTCATTTTTCTTACAATCAAATTTTAAAATAATTTTGTAGTATGAGAACTACATGGCTATCATTGTTTTAATTGTCATACTGGTGGCAATTGGCATACCGATCCCGTCCGTCGGCTCCCAAAAGTGCATCCTTTATAGTGTTACCCCTTTATAGCTACGCTGACCCACTTCTGTCAGTCTGCGGCCGCCCGCCTTCCCCCCATCCTACAGCTGTGTCCGTGAGAATACCACTTACATGGAACCCACAGCACAGAGCTTGGAAATCGCACTCTTCCAATCAGCAGAGGCCTTTGAGATCCATCCATTTATTGTTTTATGAGTAATACTCTTTTGCCTGGATGTATTGGACTTTATCAGTAAGTGTATCTGTCTTGTTCTAGACTGTTGAGCATGGGTAGAATGCTTTAAGTACTGTGTGGATGGAAGCTTTCCTTTGTCTAAGGTGACACTCAGTAATCAGGCTTCTTGGTCACATGGTAAAATTTGCAAGAGACTCCAACACTGTTCTCCAAAAGGACCATTTTTCATTGCTGTCCATGACCTGGGAGAATCCTGGTTGCTCCACACCATTTCCAGGACTTGGTAATCTCAGCGTTTTTATCTGTGTCGTTCTAAGATGCACAGTGTTATTTCCCCATGGTTTTAATTTGCATTTCCCTAACAGCTAATTACGCTCAACATCTTTGCATGGGATGATTTGCCATCGTGTACTCTCCTTAGTGAAATGCTTGCTCAGGATTTGGGCTCATTGTTAGACTGGGCTGACCTCTCACTAGGGGGCTCTGAGGGTCCTCTCTGAAACACAGTCTTGTTTGTTACAGAGTCTTTGTTTGGATGGCTTACAAATGTCCCTCCCAGACTATGGCTTGTCTAGTCATTCTATTGATGATGTCTGTTGCACGAGTTTTTAATTTTTACAAAGTTAAACATCAATTGTTTTTCTTTTGTATATTGTGCATTTGGTGTGCAATGATAAGTCATAAAAAGTTCATTTCTACGTTCTGGAAGTCTTGTGCTTTCAATTTGGGTATCCAACTCTTTGACTTTTGGAATAAGGCGAGACTGGGCTGAAGCTCACTTCCATGTGGCTTGCATGTCCAACAACGCCAATGAGGTACATAGAGAAAATACTTCCCTTCACACCTTGTCTTTCTCTTTTATTTCTCTGGCATATTGTGGTGGTTTGAATAGGAGTGGCCTCACAGACTCATGTTTTTGAATGTTTGCCCATGGGGAGGGGCACAAGGAGATGTGGCCTTGTTGGAGGGAGCGTGTCACTGTGGGGTGGGCTCTATGGTCTCATATGCTCAAGCTTCACCCAGTGTGGTGCAGTCTCTTGTTCTGCTGGCTGTGGATCAAGACGTGGAACTCTCAGTTCCTTCTCCTGCACCATGTCTGCCTGCACGCTGCCATGTTTTTCACTATGACAATAATGGATTAAACCTCTCAAACTGTAACCCAGCCTCCATTAAATATTTTCCTTTATAAGAGTTGCCATGGTCCTGCCTGCTAACATTCCTTAAACTCCACCCAACATCTCCCTATAGCATCCCTTCCCTTCCCCTGGGCTCCATATTCCAGCCCACAATTCCAACTGTGCTACCAGAGGCTGGGCTGGTGCTAGGGACCCAAGGTAAGACACCACACACCACCTGGTAACGCTCCTGAAAGCCTACCCAACAGCCCCAGCTGTACCCCCCCACCCCAACCCCCACTCCAAATCCCAGCCCAGGACTTTGACTGAATACTTCTACTTTACCTGAGGTCAGGCTGGCTCTAGGGACCCAAGGCAAAACATTCCTAACACAAAACACATCCAGGAAATCGAGGATGCTATGAAAAGTATCCCAGCTCAAAGGCCCAGCAAATATATTCAACAGATCATAGAAGAAAATTTCCCTAACCTAAGGAAAGACATGCCTATAAAGGTACAAGAAGTTTACAGAACACCAAATAGATTGGGCTAGGAAAAAAGTCCTCATGTCATATATTAATCAAAACACTGAGTGTACAGACCAAAGAAAGAATATTAAAAGCTGCAAAGGAAAAAGGCCAAGTAACATATAAAGGAAAATCAATTCGAATGACACCCCACTTCTCAATGGAGAGTCTAAAAACCAGAAGAGCCTGGAATAATGTGCTGCAGACTCTAAAACACCACAAATGCCAGCCCAGACTACTACACCCAGCAAAAGTTTCAACCACCATAGAGGGAGAAGACAAGATATTCCATGACAAATCCAAATTTAAAAATATCCATCCACAAACCCAGCCCTAAAGAAAGGCTTTCTTGTGCTGACTCTAACCAAGCAAGTTCTGTATGACAATAACTTCGAGCCTTTGAAGAAGAAAATGAATAAGATACCAGAAGATGGAAAGATCTTTCATGCTCATCGATTGGTAGGATTAATATAGTAAAAATGGCCATCTTACCAAGAGCAATCTACAGATTCAACAAAATTCCAACACAATTCATTGAAGACTTTACTTGCTAGTTTCGTGAGTCAACCTGACACAAGCGAGAGTCATCAGAGAGGAAGGAGGAGCCTCAGCTGAGGAAACGCCTCCATGAGATCCAGCTGTAAGGCATTTTCTCACTTAGTGATCAGTGGGGGAGGAGGATCCAGCCCATGGTGGGTGGAGCCATCCCTGGGCTGCTGGTCCTGGGATCTATAAGAAAGCAGGGTGAGCGAGTCAAGAGAAGCAAAGCCAGTAGGCAGCTCCCCTCCATGTCCTCTGCATCAGCCCCTGCCTCCAGCTTCCTGCCCTGTTTGAGTTCCTGTCCTAACTTCCTTCAATGATGAACAGCAATGCTGAAGTATAAGACTAATAAACCCTTTCCCCCCCAACTTGTTTTTGGTCAGGAACCCGAAGACACAGACCTTAAAAGAACAATACTCAACTTCACATGGAAAAACAAAAAAAAACCCAGGTGTGGTGATACTTTGTTTATGCTGTAGCTGTAACAAATAAAGCTTGCCTGAGGATTAAAGTGCAGAGCTAGCCCTAGAGACCAGGCAGTGGTGGTCACACCTTTAATTTCAACAATCAGGAGACAGGCAAACAGATCTCTGCGAGTTCAAGGCCACCCTGGGCTACACGAAATTGATCCAGTCTAAAAGAGAAACAGCCCACACAAAGGTGGCCTC